ATTGAGCAAATGATGCAAGCGTTGCACAAAATTAATACGATAAATTTATTCAAAAGAAAAGCGTCAACGATATTGCTTTAATGAAACTGTTCGTGGAGTTTTTACTTGTTTTTTTTTACATTTCATAACATAAATAAAATTTTTCACCTGCTCTGGAAATGCAGTCATATTGTTCTTATAGTTAATATTTGTTTTCAAATTAATATCTCGCTTTCCTTATGGGTTATGGCCCTTATCTCGCTTAGAGAATAAATAGAAAAATTAATTAATTAAATAATTAATTAAATTAATCAAATTTAATCAAATTATTAATTAAATTAAAATGAAATTAATCGATATATTATTAATTAATAGAGAAATTATTATTTAAAATTAATATCTCGCTCAGAGTTCGGCTTCACGCCGAACACTGAGAAAAATGAAGATACATTGTCCGAAAAACGAAGCACTTCTAGCCCTTGAGTGAGTCATTCTGATACAGCTTGGCCCGGTGACAGGGCGTTTTTAAACAGATTCGCATAGCTTCTATCATTTAATTATCATAATATATGAAAATAAAGTAGTATTTTCACTTTATTAAATAATGAAATAATAATTTTTACTTTAGTAAATAAATGAAGAGTCTGGAGAGGTTGACATGTAACGATGGATCGATTAACCCCTTTTATGCCAGGTTAACCTGCACTGATCATATGGAACAGGTTTTAACGAGAAGTTACAGGTTAACTTCTTGAAAGACCAGGTAATAACGCCAGGTTAAACTTCAATGTTATAACGTACCTGTGCAAAATGCAACGTACACTAAAAAAAAAAGAAATAAATAAGTAAAAATTAGAAAACTTTAGTCTAATAGAACGCATTTATTGACCGCGTTTGGGTCCTAGATAAAAAAAAAACCTTGGAACCTCAACTCCAATAAACCTCAGAAGATTATCCGAAAATTAACCAAAACCAAACAATTTATTATAATTATATATTATCGGGCCTGTCAGACTAAACCTCCTGACAATCTGACCTGAATCAGGTTACCACAGGTAAATCTGACATAAAATCATACGTTACAATTTATTATATATAAGAATATAACGAAGATTTCACTCAGAAAAACAGTGGAATCTTTTTCCTGATTATGTGATGCACTTCTTGCCCTTATGTGGGTCATCCTGACCCAGTTTGGCGCGGCAAAAAGGCATATCAATGTCACGTGCTTTGGGTGAGAAAATGTTTCCCTTGCTTGACAATATGACCCTTTCATAACTCCCGGTCACTAAAATANATATTTTGCAGGAAGAATGATATATATTAATATATTAGGAATCCTTTATTATTATTAGGCATCATCACCACCATCATCTTTATATCAAGTCATATTCTGTATAATATTTATTAATATATATTGTAGAAATATTTTATATATATTTCATTTAAAAATATTTTTCATAACCTTAATACATATTAATATATATTACCGTATAGAAATATTTCATCCATATTTTATTTAAAAATATTTTTCATAACCTAATTTTTGGTCTAACAGCGCCTACGGTATATATAGTACTATTTCAAGTATATAAATGCCATAATAATTATTTCTACTTTATAACTGGCAATAATAATAATTATATCAGGTTAATAAATAATAATATTTACCACTACACCCACCAGACTGTGGGGGGTGCCCTGCTGTCTCCCCCAGCAGCCCCGGCACCGCCCCACACCCACTCAGCATCACACCCATCCTGCGGGGGAAACATATTTTAAATATAACATATATATTTAAAATATATATTTTGAATATATATTCAAACAACAACATATATTCAACATATTTTAAATATAGTATTCAAACAAAAATTATTCTATTATCAAAATAATAATATATTCCTGTCTTAAAAAATTATGTCTTGATATTTATTATAAGTATCCCCAATATATTTTTAATGTGATTTTAAAACAAAATTCTATTCAATTATCAAAATAATTATATTCACATCTTAAAAACAATAACTTGATATATATCATGATTGTAGGTAAGTAGTCACTCAAAGAACTACCTGGGTTGCAGTTGTCCATGTTGCTGCTGGCAGGATTGCAGCAGTTGGATGAGATACTGCGGGAACGACTGGAAATCTACCAGCAAACCCTGCACGATAATCATTGTTATCATCATAACCATCATTACTATCATTACCATCATTGCTATTAACACATTGACTCCGAAGTGTTACATTTTAGTACCACAAAATGTACTTCTCCAGGATGTAGTGGTTCATAATTCAGGTTGCCTAAAATTGGCCAAATCCGACAACAAAAAAGGCCAATAACTCAATATATACTAGTTTATTTCTAGGTTCTGCTATAAAAATTCCATTTATTTTCTTTTTGCAGCATTTAAAATTTAATTAGGAAGTACCCCTATCATAAATTTTAGCCGGCCAATGCAATTGAGAAAAACTAATTCACGGAATTTGTCCAGAAAAAATTGTCTGTCGGGCAAACCCTGTTTAAAAACAGTACAAAAATGAAATAATAGTACAAGATGAAGCAATTGGAGTCAACGTGTTAAGAAAATGTAGACAAGGTCTTTATAAATATCATTTTAGGATATATTACAATGATTGCTGGGGATGGCAAAGACAGTTTTCTTGCATATTTTCTTCAGTGTTAATATTAAAGTTAGTAGGTATTATTAATGATGTTTAGCTCATGGTAAATATTTGTTGATATTTTTGTGCATGTTGGTAAATTTTTTAATGAGAACATGAGTAAAATTGAGAAAGAATAATTCTTGTAGTTGCATTTTTGTGATTAATGTGCAATTTATGATTAAAAATTCATTAAATTAGATGCTAAAATGAAATAAAATAGGTACATAGGTACTATAAATTAAAAAATATTTTTCACATATGTAAAAAATCACACCCACCACACAGGCTAACACAAAGCCAAGATATACAAAATCTACAGATTGTATAGAATACAAAGCCAAAATGTACACAGATTGTATAGAATACAAAGCTAAAATAACACAGATTGAATAAACAGGATTGTATAGAATACAAAGCCAAACTATACAGAGATTGTATGGAATACAAAGCTAAAATTTACAGAAATTGTATAGAATGCAAGGCTAAAATATCAATGATTGTATATACAGGATTGTATGGAATACAAAGCCAAAATGTAGAGATTGTATAGCATGCAAAACTAAAATATTGCAGATAGTATAGGTATACAGGATTGTATAGAAAACAAAATCGAAATATACAAAGATTGTATAGAATACAAACTATACAACCTGGGCAGCCTTAAGGCCCGGGTAGTCAGCAGCGGAGACGCAGGACGTGAGCAGCACCTGCGGGTCGTCTGCGTCCGTGATGCGCACACACAGAGTCTGCGGCAAAACAGACATGAATATTAGAATATTAGTGGGAAATAATATTAGTGGGAAATTAGCAGAAATATTAGTGGGTCGTGTTGTCCAAATAGTGACACATGTTTTTACCTGCACAAAAGTTATTCCATTAACTATTGTTTTATTCCAATCAACCACTACCTAATTAATTTAATATAAAAATTATGTAAACTGCTTCAAAATGATATTAAAATTCCTATGTGAAAGTGAATAATCCTGAATAATTTAAATATATTTAAATTTAATATTTAAAATTTGACATTTGATATTTTTAGCATACTTAATATTAATTTAATATTTTTAGCATCTTCTTTAGAGTTAATCAGGTGACATAGGTGGTAGTGTATTCAAATAAGTATCAGATCAAATTTCAAAATTATGTGATGTAGTAATCTATAGATTTGGATTAAAGTCAATTTGAATTTGAAAAAAAAAGTTATTATATACACAGTGGGATGGTGATGGTGACATCATAACAATAGTGAACAATCCACCTGGGGCAGGTTAGGCTGGATGGTGGTGATGGTGATGGTGATAAGAGTGATGGTGATGAGAGTGATGGTGATGAGAGTGATGGTGATGGTGATGAGAGTGATGGTGATGGTGATGAGAGTGATGGTGATGAAAGTGATGGTGATGAGAGTGATGGTGACATTATAACAATACCTAGTGAAAAGTTTACCTGAGGCAGGTTAGGAGCAATGGTGAGGGTGATGGTGAACACCAGTTTCCTGTTCTGCGCCACCGAGTCTCCGGCATCAATCTGCCCCGGCAGGAGCTGCACCGTGAGGTCGAGGCAACACAGCTCCGTGATAGTGCTTGCCATTTATATTTCTGTATAAAGAATGCGTTTTAATACTTTTCTACAAATAAACAGTGAAAAACAATTGTATTTTAAAAATAAACAATAAAAAATGATATTTTAGCAATAAACAATAACAAAAAAAAAACTCTAGAAATAAACAATAAAAAACATTAATATTCTAGCAATAAACAATAACAAATAATGATATTATACAAATAAACAATAACAAATAATGATATTCTATAAATAAACAATAGTAAATAATAATATTCTAGAAATAAACAATAACAAATAACAATATTCTGCAAATATACAATAACAAATAATGATATTCTATAAATATACAATAACAAATAATGATATTCTACAAATATACAATAATAAATAATGATATTCTATAAATATACAATAACAAATAATGATATTCTACAAATATACAATAACAAATAATGATATTCTACAAATATACAATAACAAATAATGATATTCGACAAATAAACAATAACAAATATTAATATTTTACAAATAAGCAATAAAAAATAACAATTTTATACAAATAAGCATGGATGAACATCTGCATAGCGGCTGCGCGGCAGAGCAGAATTATATTTAGACTTTTTTCAAGATCTATGGATATTTAGGACATAAATAGATTAATACTTGCATTGTCACATATAGATAACTAATATAATCTTGTAGTAGATCAGGAATTCTAATTGTTTTTCAATTGGAAATACAAAATGCATGATCAAGCTGCTGCAAAATTTTAAAGTTATTGAAAATGTGTCAGTTAGGCACTATCAAGTTTTCAGAATATATAGAACTATTCAAATATGATCATTATGATGCAAAGTGATCATTTAAAAAAATTTATTTTGTAGAAGATATGTTCTAGCTGAACAATTTGACAGAATCTAAGGTTGTTCCACCTATGAATCAGACAAAAACCCTATGAAATTGTCCAACTCTAAAAATTACCATACCATTTTCTGCATTTTTTAGTAAAAAATAATTAAAAAAGGCAGGTTTTCACCTGCAATTTTTTAAAATCACCTCTAAACAATATTTTTCCATGTGATTTGTGGAAAATTGGCAACAACAGTTTTAATCCAGAATTGAAGTGGTAAAACGTGGTAAAACACAACAGTTTTACCACTTTTACAGGTGATTTTTACAAATCAATCTTTCTGAAAATATGCAATTTTTTAATACTTTACTAAATGAAAACAAGCATCAAAAACATCTACCTTTAGCCAGGGCTGCGACTAGAGCTTTCCCAGTTCCCACCATTTCCAGAACTGCGAGATTTCTGCCAAATGAATTACCACCTATCTAATTCAGACTAATTGTTAACAAAAGTGCATGATCATGATGATCGGTCCACAAGATTCCAATTGTATTACAAATTTGTCAGTTTTGTCACATTGGAGCCACAAGACTTCAGAAGTTCAGACACAAGTAGGAAAATTCCAATCCTGAACTGTCTTAGGAATTTTTTAAGGAAAAGGGAAAGAGACTATGTCTATGAGTCATGGAAATGTGTTAAATTATCCTTTATTATGGGCATTTTGGTCTCAATCACAACTTTGCAAATTGCAAGCAGCTGCGAGCTGCCAACTGCTGCCCCATTTTCCAACATGGACTCAGTGGACTGCATTTGCATCAGCAGACAGCAGTTAATTTTTAATTTTCTATTTAGGATTTGACTTTGTTTTTTTTTTATTTTTATAGTTGAAATAAGGTAAGAAACCTTGGAAATTAAAATGAAATTGTTTAATAGGCTTTTCTTGGATTGAAATGATATTATGACTTTAGAGTCTCTAATTTATATATTTTGCCCATTTTTCATTCTCTGACAGACTGGCACATTGCACTGTCGCACACAGACACATCACACAGGCCACAGCAAACAGCATAGTAGCCTAGTAGGTAACCTTTTTGAAAATGACATAGGCCTACAAAATGATTTCAATTATTATTTCATCCAGGCTCCAGCAACAAATTTCTTACCCAAGTTATTTCATGATATATTATTTTTTTGGAGGCCACCAACCTTATTTAGCTGATTAATATGCTTAAGTTCAGAAGCATAATTTATATTTGTATTGTATATAGGGCTACCTAGGTACCTAGTTAGTAGCTAAGGCTAGTTTATTAGAATGTCGAAAAATTCACAAAAGTCAAAATTTCTTCCAACTCTCTTGATTATCGGTATATAGTAGAAGAGCAGTGTAGTATTTAAATTTGTACCTTAAAATAATTGTGCAACTTATTCCTATAACTCACACATATTTAATCTCTTATTGAATGAACAACTTAATAAAGATTTTGAACTTGCATTCAACACATTCGTATTTAAATCAGCGCGGCAGGAATAAACTTCGACTCCGTTGTCCGTTTTCCTTTAGAACTGAAACTCAAAACAGTTCACTTGGTGTCCGATTACTTAAGCAATTTATTTATCTAAAAACTTAAATCTTTCTTTACCATTAGAAACTAAGCACAACATTTAAACTACTAGAATTTGTCAAACTGACTGAAATACTGACCAATAGTGTTGTTTTATTTTTTGGGGATGTAGCATAACGAAATTGTCAAGTTTTATATTTTTTTCTTAGGACAGCTGTGAATATGGTATATTTGAACTTTTTTGTTAACATAAGAGTGTGAACTTTTAATTTTTTGAAGCTAGTAAAAGTTTTCAGGCAGCGTGTATGACCGATTTAAAGGTCGTGACCGTAGGTCACCACGCACCCCAATTCCAATTCCAGTGAATAGTGAACCGATGCATTAACAATTTAATTTCGGTGATGAGCCATACATTTTCGCCTTACATTAAAAAATGTAAAATAACCGTAAGCCTTGATGTTAATGAGAAATAGATATAATGCAGTGGTTCCCAAACCTTTTCAGGCTGGCGTCCCCCTTTGGCTCCCAAGTGAACTTCTAGCGCCCCCCACAGACACATATAAAAAATTAAGCCTCATTCTTGAAATTTAGTACGCTGCGATTTTAATAGATAAATGTTAAACACAAATGTGTATTTAAAAAAAAGAACCTCATTTAGTGAACCAATATGTTTTTAAGCTGTTTTAACTGTTTCAGCACTAGAAACCTAGGTCATCTCGAGCAAATCCACGGCCGGACTCGTGGCCGGTCGCACGACCAATCTCCAAATTCAATTATCAAGTAATATCTCCTAAACTAATGAACGCAGCTCAAGGAAACTTGGAACATATATTCATCAAAACCTAACGTTAATTTTTAGCTCGTAAAAAATTTTAACTTTCACCTTCATTCGTGAGTTATATTGCGATAAAGGCCGAAATTCGCAGTGATCAAAGATTTCTTCCAAACTACTGAGCAGATTTGAACGAAAATTTGAATATACATTCCTAACTACTAAGCGTTTATTTTTTTGGCTTTTAAAATTTTCGATTTTACCTTCGTTTGCGAGTTTTCTTTTCATTTCACAGTCATTCTTGATTTCACACTTCCTTAAATTCGACCCGTATCGCCGGATAATTTGTCGCTTAAATTCGCGGTGATCAAGAAGTTTCTTCTAAACTACAGAACAGATTTCAACGAAACTTTGTATATAATTACCTAACCTGTCATCGGTGATGTTTAGCTCGCGACAATTTTTCTATTTTGCTTTCGTTCACGAGTTATACAGATATAGGAGGAACGACCTGCTTTTCTACCGGCCGGTTTAACCAAGAGCCGTTTACGTATATCCATATAACTCGCAAACGAAGGCAGAACGAAAAAATTGTAGCGAGCTAAACATCACAGTTGCTGAGGTTAGGTATTTAAATACTAAGTTTCGTTCAAATCCATTCAGTATATAGTTTTGAAAGAAATTTCTTGATTACAGCGAATTTAAGCACGCATTGCTGTTAAAATCACGAATGAAGGTGAAATGGAAAAAAACTCGCGAACAAAGGCACAATCGAATAAATTTTCATGAGCTAAACATTA